TGGCAGAAGCAGGTGAGGAGTAACGAGCAACGACAGCAGTGTACAGGTCCTTAGCAGTCTTGTGCTGGCCAAAGTGCTCGCGCTCATCTAGCGGCAGGGAGTTGCGAATAGCGAAGCGAGCGTGGGCGTCACGAGTCTGCCACTGTGAGCGCTGAGTGCTGTCTGCAGTGGTAGGAGGGGCAGTAGCGTGACCGAGGGCATGATCGTACAGCGAAATATCCTCCTTGGCAGTGAGCTGTAGGAAGAGGTGCAGGTCATCTAGCCAGGTGTCAAACTTCACTGGGCGGCCCTCAGCATCGAAAGCAAGTACGGGAGGACTAGCCATAGTGGCAGCAGTAGTAGCAGTAGGAGCAGTAGCAGTAGCAGCAGTAGCAACAGTTGTAGTAGCAGTAGGAGCAGTAGTAGGAGCAGCAGTATCGACGGGGCTGCTAGTACGGGCGGCGCGGCTCGGTCGGGCGGCGCGGCTCGGTTCAGGTAGGGCGGCGCGGCTCGGTTCGGGCTGCGCGGCTGCGCGGAGCCGCTAAGCGGGGCGGTATGGGGCCGCGGAGGCCTCGAAGCGGGGCTCGACGGGGCCGCGGGGCCGCTAAGCGGGGCGCAACGGGGTCGCGGGGCCGTGAGGTGGGGCGCGACGGGGCCGTGGGGCCTCTAGGCGGGGTTCGACGGGGCCGCGGGGCCGCTAAGCGGGGCGCAACGGGGTCGCGGGGCCGTGAGGTGGGACGCGACGGGGCCGCGGGGCCTCTAAGCGGTACGTGACAGGGCCGCGAGGCCTCTAAGCATAGCGCGACGGGGCCGCGGGGCCTTTAGGCGGGGCGCGATCGACGGGGCCAGCGGGGCCGGGAAAAAAAAGGGAGTAGCGCGCGAGAGCGCTAAGGGGGGAGGCGCTAAAGCGCGCTCCGATAGTAGGGCGCACGAGGGCGCTAGTAGGTAGTAGGTAGTAGGTAGTGGTGGGCCCGAAGAGAACTTAGGTCCTAGCGAAGGACCTGCTCTGAAACCATGTCAGAATGAACGGACTGGAATGAATGAACTAGCAGTGAAATGTGTACAAGTACCTAACCCTAGAATTGTGTACCCCCTATAGGCTAACCCACTATAGCCTAAACAAGCACAACATATATAATTTTTGACAACCTCTGCGTAACACCTGGTTACCTGCCTTGTGTCGAGCCTATATATAGCCTTGCCTTGTGCCCATGTGGAACATTCAATTCACATTCTCTTTTCTGAGCTCGATCCTAGATCCTCACACTTGGTAATCAGAGCCTGTTTACACGCGAGTTTTTCGACCGCTAAATCCTAGCTTTTAAAACCGCGGGGGCGACGACGAACGCGCCGATTTCGGGTACGTAAACCAGTTCCGCGCTGTTTTTTAACGTCCCCCTCGAACCGGTTTTCGAACACTCCTCAGGTCCATTGGCAAAGAAGTTGGAATTTCGACCGTCGGTCTAGATTCGAACATCAACGGCCTTGGGAATTTCGCCCAAAAAAGTTGGAATTTGGGGCGTCGGATCAAATTTCAGCTCAACGGCCAAGATCTGACGCGAATTTCGACAAAGGGAGAATTACGCGACTAGCAGAAACGGCACTCGACGTTTCTACAGTCGATTTGATTCGCAGTGAGTCGACCAGCGCCTATATTTCAAAAAATTCTGTCGCAAATCTTCCTGTAAATCGCCAAATGGAGGAAAACGGTGATAATTCCGTACGAAAAATTACGGAGTTACGCACCGACCTGGACCAGATGCGAGCGGCACTCCAGCGAGTAGAGGAGCTTCTCGCGAACCAGTCGGTAGCCGCCACAGCAGCAGCGAACGTAGCAGCGAATGCAGCAGCGACGGTAGCAGCAGCAACGGCGACACCGACACTTCACCAAGCAGCAGCCACAGTGAATCTTGAGGCGGCACGTCCGAGGCTACCGGAGACGTTCAATCCGAATGCAAGAGACACCGACGTCCGTCGATTCATTGCGACACTCGAAATTTATTTCGAGGCCGTTGGCTGTACGACCCCGACACACGATGCAATGCGGATTCGGCTCGCAGCAACACTGTTGCGAGGTCCGGCACTCGAGTGGATTTACAACAGTAAGAATATCCGAGGCGAGGGGTCATGGACGCAGTTTTGGGCAGCTTTAATTCAACGTTTCGAACCGATCAATTCCAGCTACATGGCGCGGCAGCAGATTCATCGGCATAAACAGTACGGCAGTGTAATGCAGTATACACAGCAGATGGAGAGCCTCTTCAATCGAATTACCGACCTGACCGAAGGGGAAAAAATCCAAGCGTATAATGAGGGGCTAAAAATGGACGTACGACGACAGGTGATCGCTGCGAACTACAACAACTACCGCGACATGGTGTGTGCAGCAGAGAGATTCGATGCGCTGATGCGAGGTCAACCTGAAACACGACGCTACATGCTGAACAGATCATTCGACACGGAGCGATCAGCACCACCCACGACCGCCGACCCAATGGGTATCGACAAGATCGACGCAAAGCAGCGGCCGACAACATGCGACTTTTGCGGCGCAGCGGGACATCGATTCTTAGCGTGTTGGAAAATGAAGAACACACGAGCAGCGCTACAGGGCAACAATAGTGCGGCGGCCCGCGCGCGGCCCGCAGCAGCCCCGCGCGCTGCCCCGCGCAGCCCACTGCTGCCTCCCGCAGCCCGCCCCGAGCCCGCGCCGCCCGCTCACGGCCAGCTGCTGCCCCGCGCCCCGCTCACGCAGACCCGCCTGGCCGCGGAAGCGGCCCCGACCTGCTGCTGCCGCGGCCTGGCCCTGCAGCTGCCTTGGCCTCGACCTGCCGCTGATGCGGCCCTGCCCTGCAGCTGCCTCGGCCCCGACCTGCCGCTGATGCGGCCCCGCCCTGCAGCTGCCGCGGCCCCGACCTGCCGCTGACGCGGCCCCACTCTGCCTCTGCAGCTGCTGCAGCCCTACTGACGTGACGTCTCTGCAGCCGCTGTTGCGGCCCCGCCGTCGCCGCCGTCGTGCGCCTACCCGGCCGCCGCCCGCCGAGCGCCGGCCCTGCTCGCCCGGCGAGCGCCTGCCCTTCCAGCCTTTGGTGAGCACCTGCCTGCCTGCCTGCCGGCCTGTCTGCCTGCCTGCCTGCCTGCCCGCCTGCCTGCCTGCCTGCCTGTCGGCCTGCCTGCCTGCCTGCCTGCCTGCCTGCCTGCCTGCCTGCCTGCCTGCCTGCCTGCCTGCCTGCCTGCCTGCCTGCCTGCCTGCCTGCTTGCCTGCCTGCCTGCCTGACTGCCTGCCTGCCTGCCTGCCTGCCGGCCTGTCTGCCTGCCTGCCTGCCGGCCTGCCTGCCTGCCGGCCTGCCTGCCTGCCTGCCTGCCGGCCTGCCTGCCTGCCTGCCGCGCCTGCCCTACCCGAGATGCTGCGGCTGCTGCTGCTACTAGGAGGTGGCCAGATGCAGCTCCAGCGACGTTCACGCGAGTCTCTCACGCCCCAGCAGCTTAGTGAGTGGTATACTAGTTGGGGCTGTCGCGGTAGCCGTCGTAGCTGTCGCCCTGGAGCTGGTCAGTTGGGGGCGTCTGGCAGTGGCCAGCTGCAGCTGCAGCGGCATCCACGCGAGACACTTACGTCCCAGCAGCTCCATGAGTGGTACGCTCAGAGTAGCAGGTCTACGCGTACAGTTCACTGCCCGTACGTCATTCGCACAGGTGATAGGACTGACCAGCCTTGTGGGACGCTTGGTCACACACAGTCCCGCTGCTTCGCCCGTCTGAGCGACGCCTGGCGTACCGTGTTTGGAGACGAGGCTGAGCTCCCTATTTGGCCGGAGCTGCTTGGACAGAGGGTAGATATCTTTGCTCTTGACTATGATGCTATTCTCACTGCCATGTATGCATTGCCTACTAGTGCTGACGGTGCCTGTTACCTGTGCGTACCGCCTGACCCTGGTATAGCGCCTGCTGCTCTCGGTACTGGTGAGGCTGCTGCTCTAGGTGCTCGTGCGTCTCCTGCTCCAGGTGCTGGTGAGGCTACTGCTCCAAGTACTATGAGTCTGCTCTCTCTGGTACTACGCCTGCTGCGGTCTTGCACACCTTCACCCTTGACTCAGGAGCTTCCCGCTCCTTCTTTCGCGACTGCACCACACTCACGCCGCTTAGTCGGCCAGTTCCAGTCTCCCTGGCGGACCCCTCCGGGGGTCCAGTCCTTGCCCACTACTCCACGGTTCTGCCGTGTCTGGTCGCCCCGTCTGGCTCGCCGACAGGTCTTTACCTCCCCTTGTTCTCTACGAACTTGGTGAGTGGAGCTGACCTCCAGGATGGAGGGGTTCACCAGTTCACTCCTGCGAGTCAGCGAGTGACCCACTGTACGTGTGCTCGGACGGGCCGGCACCTGGCCACGTTTACCCGTGCGCCTGGCTCGAGTCTGTACACACTGACCACTGCGTCCCCTCAGGTGGCTGAGTCCGCGTCAGGTCAGCTGGCGGCCCCCTGCGAGTGTCGCGCTTTGTCGCACCAGACCCTCCTGTGGCACCACCGCCTTGGTCACCCCTCGGTGCAGCGCCTTCGGGGCATGTACTCTCGCTCCCTGGTTTCTGGTCTTCCCAGGTCTCTGCCTGCCCTCCCTCCCTCGCCTGCGCCGCCCTGCATTCCTTGCGTCGAGGGGCGGCAGCGCGCCGCTCCTCACTCCTCCTCGTTCCCTCCCACAGAGGCTCCCCTGCAGACTCTCCACTTGGACGTGTGGGGCCCAGCCCACGTCCGTGGACAGGGCCACGAGCGGTACTTTCTGCTGGTCGTCGACGACTACACGCGTTACACCACGGTCTTCCCCTTGCAACGGAAGGGGGACGTCAATGATGTGTCGATCCCTTGGATCCGCACTGTTCGTCTCCAGCTCCGCGAGCGGTTCCGGTCGGACTTTCCTGTCCTGCGTCTACACTCTGACAGAGGCGGTGAGTTCTCCTCCGACCTCTTGGCAGCCTACTGTGCGGAGCACGGCATCCGCTAGACGTTCACGCTTCCGGCCTCTCCGCAGCAAAATGGGGTTGCTGAGCGCCGCATTGGCTTAGTCATGGAAGTCGCTCGTACCTCCATGATCCATGCGGCTGCCCCCCATTTTCTGTGGCCGTTTGCTGTCCGGTACGCCGCGCATCAGCTCAACCTTTGGCCCCGTGTCTCCTTGCCGGAGACCTCGCCCACACTGCTGTGGACGGGGAAGGTTGGCGATGCGTCGCGTTTCCGGGTCTGGGGTGCTCGTGCCTTTGTCCGCGATACCACTGCGGACAAGCTCTCCGCCCGCGCTGTTCCCTGTGTCTTCCTTGGCTTTGTCCCTGACGCGCCTAGTTGGCAGTTTTACCACCCCACCTCACGCCGTGTCTTTGCGTCTCAGGACGTCACGTTCGAGGAGTCGGTTCCCTTTTACCGTCTCTTCCCCTACCGCACTGCCCCTCTCCCCCCCCCGCCGCTCTTCCTCGCTCCAGGTGCTCCCCAGGTAGACCCCCTCCCCGCTCCTGGTCCTGCTCCTTCAGGTGTGTCTCAGGTAGACCCTCCTCCCTTGACTGCGCCGGTTGAGGTCACTGGTGACTCAAGCCCTGCTGAGGGTGGTCCTGCTCAGGGTGCTACTTCTGGAAGTGCTGAGCCTGGGGGTGCAGAGCCTGGGGGTGCTGAGCCTGGGGGTACTGAGCCTGGGGGTGCGGAGCTTGAGGGTGTGGAGCCTGGAGGTGCTGAGCCTGAGTGTGAGGGGTCTGGGGGTGCTGAGCTTGGCAGTACTGAGTCTGGGGGTGCTGCACCTGGGGGTGCTGAGGCGTCTGGTGAGCAGTCTCCCTGGAGCGGCCGTCTCCGTAGTCGCTCCGCTGGTGCCTCGCCGCTGCCCTCTCGTCGTCGACTCCCCCTCTCCTCCCTGCAGCTGGTTGAGTGGTACCTTGGTCGTCAGGGTCGCGCTGCTGGAGCTGGTGACTCTGCTCCTAGAGCTGTTTCTACTAGAGGCTCTGCTGCTGCTGAGGGTGCGGGCGCTGGAGGTTCTGGCGCTACTGGAGGTCCTGGTGCTGATGGCTCTGCAGCCCTGGAGCTGGAGGTTCTGGAGCTGCTGAGGGTACTGACGCTGGGGGTTCTGGAGCTGCTGAGGGTGCTGGCACTGGAGGTTCTGGAGCTGTTAGAGGTGCTGACGCTGAGGGTTCTGAGTCTGCTGTTGCGCGGTCTCCTTGGAGTGGCCGCCTTCGTCCGCGTGTGCCTCTCACCTCACAGCAGCTGCACGACTGGTACGGTCGCCGTCAGGGTCGCGCTTCTGGAGCTAGGGGCTCTGCTACTGGAGGTACTTCTGCTGACGTCACTGGAGCTGGGAGTGGTGCTGGTCTCGGAGGTGCTCGTACTGGGGGTACTGGAGCTACTGGGGCTGGAGGTGCTGAGCCTGCGGGTGCTGCTGCTGGGGACACTGCGGCTGGAGACCCTGGGACTGGGGGTGCCGGTTCTGGGGGTGCTGCTGCTGGTGGAGCTGGCCCTGGAGGAGCTGGCGCTGAGGGTTCTGGTGCTGCTGGAGGTGCTGGAGCTACTAAAGGTGCTGGAGCTGCTGGTGCTGGTAGCACCGCACCGACTCGACTTTTCTTCACTCCGCCGTCTCCGTCGTCTCAGCCACCGTCTGGCTCTGCCCTTCGCCAGGTTCTTGACCTCCCGTCTTCTACTGGTCTACAGTTACTGCCTGGCTCTCCTCTGCCTGCTCCTTCTCCTTACACTGAGCAGACAGGGGGTCTTGCTGAGCGTCGTGAGCCTGCGTCGCGTCCTGTCTCGCCTGTTCGTCCTTGTCGTGTCGTTCGTCGTGTTCCTCGTCAGCGTCAGCCGGCTGTCCCCGGCACACGCCTTGTAGCCCTGCGTCGGTCCTCTCCTCCGGAGCGTACTCCTCTTCCGTCTCCTCCTGCGTCCTCTTTGCCTGACGTCGCGGATCCTGAGTCTGACTGGTTTCGTGCTGAGCACCCTACTGTCACGCGTCTGCTTGCCACTGTTGTCACTGACCCGTCGTTTGAGTCTACTGCTGCGTCTGCCCTGGTCGCTGAGCTTGTTGACTTTGCTGCTGCCTGTCGTCTAGACTTCGCTGCCAGTCTTGTTGCTGAGTCTGAGTCTGTCTGTCCTCCGTCCGTCGGGGGTGAGTGTGCTCTTAGCACGGACGTCCTTGAGGACAGGCAAGAGGACCTTGAGTGTCTTGCGGCTGCTGCGCCTCATCTCGTGGCCATGCTGCTTGCCCCTGGAGGAGACCCGGATGCACCAAACATCCCGACCCCGCGCTCTTACGCTGAGGCGATCGCGGGTGAGTACTCCTCTCAGTGGCAGACAGCCATGGACGCAGAGATGGCATCCTGGAAGTCCACAGGCACTTACGTCGATGAGGTTCCCCCTCCTGGGGCGAACATCGTCGATGGCATGTGGATTTTCAGGGTGAAGCGGCCGCCGGGTTCTCCTCCTGTCTTCAAGGCTCGTTACGTTGCTAGAGGCTTCAGTCAGCGTGAGGGAGTTGACTTCTTCCAGACCTTCTCCCCTACCCCGAAGATGACCACTCTTTGGGTGCTACTTGTCAAACATTACCGCTCAGCGTGACTACGAGCTTCACTCTCTTGACTTCAACACAGCCTTCTTACAGGGCAGCCTGCACGAGGAGATCTGGCTGCGCCGCCCACCTGGCTTCACTGGGTCGTTCCCTCCTGATACCCAGTGGAGCCTCCGGCGGCCAGTCTACGGCCTCCGCCAGGCGCCTCGTGAGTGGCACGACACACTGAGGACTACACTTGCGACTCTTGGGTTTGCTCCTTCGATTGCTGACCCGTCGCTGTTTCTGCGCACCGACACTTCCCTGCCGCCGTTCTACATCCTCGTGTACGTCGACGACTTGGTCTTTGCCACTGCTGACACTGAGGCTCTCGCTCAGGTGAAGTCGGAGCTGCGGAAGAGACACACGTGCACAGACCTGGGTGAGCTGCGCAGCTACCTTGGCTTGCAGATCACCCGGGACAGAGCACGCCGCACCATCACCCTGACTCAGTCACACATGGTGCAGCAGGTCCTTCAGCGCTTCGGCTTCTCCTGGTCCTCCCCACAGCACACTCCTCTGGCTACAGGTCACTCGCTCTCAGCTCCACCTTCGGACGAATCCGTAGAGCCGAGTGGTCCTTACCCAGAGCTAGTTGGCTGCCTCATGTACCTGATGACCTGCACTCGACCTGACCTCGCATATTCTCTTGGTCTTTTGGCTCCTGGCAGGCACCGAAAGGTGCACATGGATGCTGCCAAGAGGGTGTTGCGCTACCTGTGCAGTACATCAGGCATGGGGCTCGTGCTTGGAGGACGGAGTGAGGTGGTCCTCACTGGGCACTCAGACGCGTCTTGGGTTGACGACCAGACTACACAGTGGTCGTGACAGGGTTACACCTTCAGCCTTGGCTCTGGCTCTGTTTCTTGGCGGTCTACACGCTCGTCTTCTGTTCTCAGCTCCAGTTGTGAGGCTGAGATCTACGCCACCGCCATGGCTGCACAGGAGCTACGCTGGCTCACCTACTTGCTGACTGACTTGGGTGAGCGGCCTCGTTCTCCTCCAGTTCTGTACGTTGACAACAAGGCGGCCATTGCCTTGTGTGAGGAGCACAGACTGGAGCACAGAACGAAGCACATTGCTCTGCGTTACTTCCTAGCTCGAGAGTTGCAGCAGCGAGGCCAGCTTCGTCTTCGCCACGTGGCCACTCGGGCCAACACTGTTGATATATTCACCAAGGCACTTCCGTCTGGTGATCATCAGCGCTTTTGTACCCTGTTAGGCCTTGTGCCTACGTTTCCACACTTGCTGTAGTCTCTGCTTGTTGTAGTCTCTGCTTGCTGTGTTGTCTCTGCCTTGGCCTTGTCCCTGTTGGGCCTTGTGGCCCTTTGCTTGTGCTCAGAGTGTGTGGTGACGTTGTGATCCACCCTGAGTTTGCTCTGCTTCTCATGACTGGTTGTGTGACCCCTTGTTCTCCCCCACTTTGCCTATGGGGGTGTGTCAAATTATATATGCTGCATATTGTGTAGGCTGTAGTGAGGTAGCCCATATGGGGTACAACCCAATTAGGGTTTACTACTTGTAATCCCGCATGCTGCTAGTTCATTCATTCATATCTCAACTTTTTAACCTTAGAAGCCCCACACTGGCTCCCGGGCAGAAGGGGATCTACACGGTGACGTTCACGGTGGATACATCCAGTAATAACTTTTTCAAGTACGGGTATATAGTGTGGGCTGATGACCACGGGCACTGTTATGAATGAACTTGTCAGAGTGCGCTGAATATCGAATAACGAGAATGAGGATTACAGAATGAAGATACAATGAGAGTGGCACGACTAAATAGGGGAAATCCTAGCTAGACGAAGGGGTAGGGCGAAGATGGCTCGGTGATGGTTGCGATTGGTGCGGAGCCGACTCGGGAGTGGTTCGGTGCGACGAAATAGGCCGAACAGGTTCGTCGCGTGACCCTCGGGATGTACTCGCTAAAGTGCGAGTACAGTAAGGAATTGTAATTCCTTGAAGGCACATCGTGCGGCCCCACCTTGGTGCAGCTGATCTCTCGCTGAGGAGGAGAGTTGTTTGAGTGTGAGTCTCTTTCATGAGTGCCCCTTATCATTTTAAGTGATGCTGTTGCGCATGGCATGGTAGGGCACTGGAGCATGGCATGGCAGCAAGGCTCTTGTTATCAGACCAAATCGGTCTGATGGTCTGAAAATCAGACCTGATTTTTTTGTTTCATCTGATTTTCTAGACTTGCGATTTTATTCCATCTGAACCATAAGACGGACGATTTTATTTCGTCTGGAAAAAAAAAAAAAAAAAAAACCAAGCCTTATAATTCGTCTGATACCGTACTTCAGACATCGAGTATGATGTCATCTGATAGCGAAAGCACTGTAGTAGCCCCCTTCCCCCCCTCCTACCCCCTCCTCCCCCTCCCCCCCTCCCCTTCTACCCTTTCCCCTGCTCACTCGAGTCCCTCGCGCGTCTCTCCAAACGAACACCCCCACCAAGTCCCTCGCCAGCCACCACCCCAATCCCTCGCTTCTCTACCAGCCCTGGTCTATCACCCCTCCCTCTTTCCTTCCAAGTCCCCTGCACCTCTCTCAGCCCACCCCCCTTCTCATCAAGTTCCTCCGCCATGCCCATTTGAACGTCAGACGAAACGATTATTTTTTTTTTTTGGGGGGGGGGGGGGGGGGGGGGGGGGGGGGGGGGGGCGGGGAATCTCAGACGGGCCTAAATCCTAGCAAGGGCCCTGCATGGCAGTGCCATTCCTCGTGGCACAGGGGTTGGCAGGGCATGTTGAGTGGAACATTGATTTGAAAGGGCTTGCTGTTTGTGGCATGAGCACACGCGATGTTGATAGGGTTGAGTTCGCATTGGAGGGAGATCTCATATGGTATACAATATTCGTACCGTATAAACTCTTCATATCCGATATTTTAGTCCCATGTGCCTAAACAATTTAATCAGTCAAGGTGCACCGGGCCCCCTGAGAAAACATGCATGATTATAAGCGCAGGTGCATCTCTATCTGGGGGGCGCCACGATAGAAGAAGGTATTCTCGCAATTCACAATGCGTAAGTGCATCGGCACTCTCACTCACTCTCATCATCGTCACCATCCAGCTCAAGTTTCCGCTCCCCAAAAAAGCCATCCCACGGCAACACATGTTCCGCAGTCCTTCTAGCGGTAACCACCAACTTGGGCAGCAGCATCCCCACCTCCCTTGCAACAAGCCTCAGATCCACATAGTCAGAACCCACTCCCCCATCTCCTCCATCCCCCAACACACGTTCGCTTCCACCTTCCTCACTCCCACTCCACCCATCTCCAGCAATCACTTCAGGCGACACCAGCAGGCGCCGCAGCCTGAACTCCTGCAACCCACAGCATCCTCGCACCTTCATCCTTCCTTTCTCATGCCCCACACCCTCAACCGCCGTGAGTGCCTTCTCCTCCTCACCCTCCTCATCCCTCTCCACCACTTCATCTACCCCATCATCTCTGTTCTTCTCGTCGTTGCCAGCAAGCTCCCTGGCTGCTGCTGAGAGAGCGAGCAGGAGAGCAGAAGTCACCCCCGGGCATCCAAAGAGGTCAAGCAGAACGAGCCTTGGCAGGTGCAGCTGCAGTGGCACTGGCGCACTGGAAGCACGGCCTGCACCAGCAGTGGCGTCGGCACCAGGTGGGATATCCGGGGCAGCCCCAGCAGCAGCGGCAGCAGTGACAGCACTGCCAAGCGCAGCATTCACAGCCACACCCACGCCGCTGCGCCAGCTGTCGCCGAACAGCGCCGCCACGACAGCAGCATCGTCCACGCGTGTGCGCGGCAGCCTCAGCACCTCCAGCCGCCCGCATCTCCTCGCCAGCTGGCGCCACGCTGCGGGTCGCACGTTCACACAGCCGCCCAGACTCAGCTGCACCAATCGCGTGCATCCGTTCGCAATGGCCAGCACCCCGGCATCCGTCACTCGCCACTGGACAGCAGGAAGGGTGACACGCACGGAGGCCCTGGCATAGGAGGAGGTGTAGTACAGAAAGTCGTTGATACCACTTCCCACAGCAGACGCCACAGGGATGAAGCGAGCTAGCGGCTGGGCGTGCAAGGCGGTGAGCTTCGGGCAGGACTGGGAAATCTCCAGCAGGACAGCGTCTGACGCCAGGGGGAGGGCGAGGCGCTCCAGGAGAGGCAGGCCGCGGATGGCCCCGCACAGCGCCTCCTCGCTCCTCCCCGGCTCGCCATCGGGAGGGGGTGGGGGGCGCAAGACATCGGTTCGGGACAGATCCAGGGTGGTGAGGTGGCGGAACAGGTGGCTCACAGCCTGCCACGTGGACGCGGGGGAATTGTGGGCGTGGAAGGAGCGCAGAGAGGAGGAGGAGGGACGTGAGACAGACAGGCTCGCGCCACTGCTGCCGCTGCTGCTGCTGCTGCCGCCGCCGCTGCTGCTGCTGCCGCCGCCGCCGCTGCTGCCGCCGCCGCCGCCGCTGCTGCCGCTGCCGCTGCCGCTGCTGGTACCCTTGTCTGTTCCAGTGACGGAGCAGCGGGCAGCGAGGGCGAGCAGCAGGGAGGAGGCGGGAGGGTGATCCCAGGCGACGGAGCGATGGGGGGAGACGCACAGGCGGATGGAGGCGAGGCAGGGCGCCAGGGACGACCCTGAGGGGCGCCAGAAGGGGTCGCCGGCACTTGGGGGGGCAAGGGAGAGCGAGGAGAAGAGAGATAGAACATCCGACCCCGCTGCTTCTGGCCCAGCATTCGCTGAAATATCTGGCGCTGTTGCTTCACCCGCCGATCCCGGCGCGCGTGCGCGCTCCGCCCCTGCGCGCCCCGGCTGGGGCAAGGCGCGCGGAACCAGCGCGGCGGACACGAGAGAGAGGCGCTGCAGGGACGGGAGGAGCGCGAGGAGCAGCGCCGCCGACTCCCACGTGATGGCGTCGGACCAGAGCGAGAGCGCCGTCAGATGCGGGAGCGTGCTGGCCACGTGCTCGACGCACGCGGCCGTGATGTCCGCTGGCGTGTCGAGGTTCAGGGCGCGGAGGTTAGGGAGCGAGGCGGCGATGGTGTTCAGGTGGAGGTCGGTAAGGAAGGAGCGCTGCGGCGGACGGTTCCCAACGGGGGGAGGCGGGCGGAGCGGAGGCGGTGGGGGCGGAGGGGGTGGGGGCGGAGGCGGTGGGGGGAGCGGGGGGCGCGGACGGGGAGGCGGTGGGGGGTGCAGGACGCACGGACGGGGGGGAGGCGGAGGATAAGTTGCGGAAGTAGGTGGGGGAGGGGGAGGGGGGGGAGGCGGGAGGGAAGAGGTAGAGCGAGGAGGGACAGAAGCAGTAGGAGGAGGAACGGAAGTAGGTGGGGGAGGAACGGCGCGAGAGGGAGGAGGAGGGGGCGCACGCGCACGCGGAGGGGGCGGATGCGGCGGAGGTGGGATGATGGAGGAGCCGGCAAGCTGAATGCCGTCCGCGTGGCCCCACACGCGATCATGGTTCGGGTATGTGATTTCCGGATCATCGCACGGGCTTAACCAGAATCCCCGCAGGTCCACGCACGCGGCGGGGCAGAGAAAGTGGTCCGAGCGGAGATCTAGGCGCTTGAGCTGACGTGGCAGGGCTGGTAACACCACCGTGGCAAAATCTGAGGTGCTCATGGGAAGCGAGTCGAATGTCGGACAGTTCTGCTCAACGCAACCGACCAGAGATAGGGTTTCGATCCTCGAGGCGGTTCGAAGGATTCGCACTATGCCGTGGGCCGTCAGCTTATCGTTGACAGCGGCGGTTAAGTTTCTCGCACCAGGACGGATCTCCAGAGATCGAAGCGTGGCGGCGAATCGCGTCGTCAACTCTAGCATCTCCGATTCGGAATCATGACTACCTAGGATGCTCTCCGATCCCGGAACTAAACTCTCGAGCAGGAAGGGCGACGGTTGGAGCGATCGCACACACACGCGCAGCGCGACGCGGCACCAGCGGCGGCAGACTAAGGCGGCCGAGGAGATAGCGAAGCGCGAGGGGAGGAAGGAGAGGACGAGGGAGAGAGTGTCGTCGTCCAGGACGGCCGTGGCGGAAGCGCATTCCGCGGAAAGCTCTTCGCAATCGCGGTCACGATCGCGATCCGCGGAAACGTGTGACGGTCGTTCCATGGTACTAACGCGTGCTGTCCGTAATACGGCTTCTGTGCTGTTGAGCGAGGGATCTCAAAATACTGCGTAGCCTGTTCTACACAAAGTGGTAAGATTGAGGAATCGAAAGAGTTGTATGATTGAGCTGCGGAGGAAACGCAGCACCAGAATCCGTTGTCACGGCGATGCGACGATGCTGATGAACTCGAGGGGACGGCGATGCGACGATGCTGATGAACTCGAGGGGGATAAGGAGAGTTCAAGGGGAGCCTTGGGGTGTGAGCTGTGTTTCGGGGTGATGCTGAGCGGGTTATGGTGTGTCAGGCGGCTCGTGTTTGCTCGAAACCCTACCCAAACGCAACGAATCGTAAATGACACGCACAACATCGTACACCACCGCAATCTGTGAATATGTACCACACCTCAGGCTGATTGAGTCCACTGGCCTGACCAGATCGAACGGCCAGTGGATTGGATGCCTTGATTAGACGGTTGCGATATCCGCTTTCAGTTCGGTTGCGCGGGGGTGAGGCGCTGCGCCCACATCTGACATTGGTCTGTCCCCTTGGCATTTGCCGTTGGATTCAGGTACACGGCACCCCGCTCGCTCGGGTGGTTGGGTGAGTTTCTTCGCACTGGGGAGGGGAACATCGCCCAGACACTACACCGTCCGCCATAATGTCCACTCAGAAGTAATCGCTATTTTTGAATCTCTATACAGTGCCCTGGTCTTTTATCCAGAAGGCTACGGTACAAAGGAAGGGTTTATTACACAGGAAGGTACATTTTCAGCAATCAACACAAAGATATGCAAAATATTGCAACATGAACTCATCATGCAATAACGTGAGCCCTTGGAGTTTCTGCGATCAGCGCCGTTCCCTCTGTCTATCCGCAACAGCTGCTGATTACTACAGGTGCTTCATCAAGTCAGAAACGCTCAAGGTGTCACCACCACCCAGAAAGCTGAACACACTGTGCGCACTACCTGATTTCGGCATGGGCCTGGGCACACAAGCATGCCCGGGATTGCTTCCATTGAGGATTCCTGTCTCAGTGCCACTACCAGTCAGCATGGCTGAAGCACAGCGCTTCAAGCCAATTGGCCGAGGCTCTTGGCTATCATCGGAAGAACTGCCACCTGACCTGCCCGATGCTTCCCTTGAAGGACTCACATCCGCTGCTTCTAGCCAAGGCGGCTCCTCAGACCAAAAATCCTCGGAACACACTTTTGGAGACAATTCAGAAAGGAAATCCTCGAACGAGACGTCCGCATGTGCCAGCCCTCGTGGTCTTGCTTCGTCTGGACTCGCCGTCGCAAGGCCATCCTCGAATGAAGTGCCCCTGACGGGGAGTCCAAAAGAAACGCCATCTGCAGCAGCATCAGGTGCGGGAGGGCTGCACGGCTCAGGGCTACACATCATCTGATCCAGATCAGCAGACAGTGCCTCAGAAACCCTACTGCTGGGGGCCCAGTGGTAGCCTGCTGAGTTGCTCGCGTCCTCAGTAGACACTGCCTCGTCATAGGGCGTCAGACGGACCCTCTTCTCTGCATATGGCCAGCGCCCACCCAGAGAGTAATTTTCGGCGAAAAAGGGGCTCGGACTCCCGGATTCAATTGAGAGCGACTCGCAGGAGTCGAACAGAGACGAGATCGCGGGTGACGGCGCCAGAGCAGCTGACTCGCTGCTGCTGCCAGTGAAAGCAATGCTTTGCGGCAAGAGATTTGCCGCAACCGCCCCGGTACCAGCACCCGACAGCGAGTCAGGCCGAGCAGAGCTGGCTTCAACTGAGGATGAAACGACGCCTCCGGAGCTGGCGGGTCCGGGGAGCTCCCATCTGGAGAGAGCGCTGCTTGCACGTGCGGACGGTTCAGGGCGGGTTCCTGCACTGTTCGGAGGGGAAGTGAGCGAGTTGTGGTTGGTAACCACGGCAGTAGGGTTACAGGAGCTCGATTTCGCAGCGCACAACTCGGAGTTGGGAGAGCATGCCTGCGCGACGGAGCCCGAATCTGCAGCGTTGGAAGGACAGGAGCCCTGGGAGATGGCATCGCTGGCGTCGATCAGAGGAGTGGAGTGGTTGTGAGAGCGGTACGTGTAGTTGGTGAGGGTGGTGGCGGACGAGATGGGGAGGCGGCGGTCGTAGTCGACAGTCTTCTTCGCTCGGCAGGCGGGCTTGTTCTTAGAAGAATAGCACTTGTAGTAGCACCTGCAGCAGCCATCACAAGATGCGGAAAGGAATCATCAGACTCTGATTGGATGAAACTTCATCACGATGCGGAAAGGAACGCAGATACGGAAAGTGTGCGCTGCGCGGAAACGACGGCTCATGATAACTTGGGCCACAAATGATGCAGCCAGATCTAGGTCGGAAGGGAGACGTTCAAGCGTACCGTATGATGGAGGTGTTGTGGATGTTCTTCTGCCCGTACTTGAGCCACATATGTCCATCAGCTCGCACGATGTCCGTCATGTTTTCCCCCACCGCCGCTGGTGCTGAAGGTCCTGGGAAGGCCGCCATCAGCTGAGAGCGCTATATTCAGTGCTGGCTCGGGATTCAATCAGAACGCGGGAACTCGCCGAATCAGTGCTGGGAACTACCCGGCGAAAGCTTTCTTTTAACGACCTAGGTCGTCACGGTGAAAGGCCAACTCCTAGGGTTAGGGTTGTTATCGGAGATTGCGGTACTCAGGCTAACTCAAGTCGGCGGCAGCGTGCATTGCTCTAACCTGGGAGGACCGTACCGAGACTCGTTCGGGCGTTGCTACGCAATCGTTCCGGCGCACTCTGGAAGTAGCGCGCGAAGTGCGACCCGCATTGACGAGGCAAGCGACGAGAGGAAAAGATGTAGCTGCTTTTATCTCCATCCCGGTCCACCTCACGCGTATTTTGGACGGCTCTTTTGGCCCTAAAGAATCATGGAAAGACGGCTCCACCGGAAAAGTCGGCTTTGGATGCAGAGGAAAGAGAAACATGTCGTACACGAGGGTGAGAGGGAGGGGGAAAGGGGGAGGGACAACACCTTGCGCTACATGCGGCGTCGTTTCGGCTGCGTCGTTTCGAGCTGAAGGGGCAAGGAGAGAACCGATTGGCGGCAGCGCTATGCTGTGTGTGCAAGAGTTCTCGCCTAGCCGATTGCCTCGCCTCGCTTCGGGTGGTTGAAAATTGGCGGAAGGGAATGTGCGGAGCAAAACTCGCAAGGAAATGGATTGGAGATGTATGGAGGAGCTTTGGTAAGTTGGAAGTCGGACACAGATGTATGGAAACGTCTTCCTGACGGGAAGTCGGACACAGAGATGTGTCGGTGAGGATGATTTGGGAAAGGTTAATTGGGTTGGAGTAGGGTGGACTGGAGTTGAAGTGGAAGGAATTGGGGCACACGTGATGAGATCATGCGACCAGTCTGGGCGAGAAAAGAGGTCGCACCGTCGCATATGTGTCGTCCGAAGCACACGAGATCGGCAAGGTGCAGACTTTTGCTACAGTGTCTCGGGCAGCTTGTCAAGTCAGCGCACAGAATCGTTTGGCCACGAGCATTGGTTATTACAAAAGAATCGAGCAAAGATTGGGCGTGTGTCTTGCCACGCTGGATTACAAAAAAAGGACCATATCTTCGTAAAATTTTGTCGCTCTGAGAATGTAGCGCGCAGCCGCTTTTGAGAACATAAATTCGGAGGCACTCAATAGATTCGGTTGAACGTGTCAGTTCAGTTCATCCATATCTGGTCTGGTGGAGTGGCAAGTAGAGCAAGTGAAGTGTGGTGAGGAGGACGTGGGAGGGAGTGACATGATTCGTGTTTGGTCGTCATGTGGGAATTCGTGGCTGCCAGTGACCACCTTGATCGACAAGGACACTTTCCTCACGAGTGCTGTTGGCTGGTTTTGGCACGATTCCCAGGTCTGGCAATTGTAACGGTACACCTGGGCTCCGGTAATTTCAGAATGTGGGCACCGAGCCGCGTCCTTGTCGTTTTGCCCTGGGGTTGAAATTGGGGGGAACAAAAAAGTTCCCTCTAATTTCAACACTCTCACGAAAGATTTCGGGGTTTCGGACTCTTCTGAACGGAGCGAAAGCGGTTCTTTCTATTCGGTTAAAGGTATCGGAGGGTTGTTGGGAGGACCGAACCGCTCTCAACCAGGAGCCACAGATGACGACAGGGGCCTTGCAATTAGGGGGAATGAAATTATTGGAGCCCAGGTGTATCAGGTTTGGGCAGAAATTTGGGCCTTTCGGCTTCGACCCCGGTACAAATTCAGTCAGGACAAAGGTGTACCCTTTTTGAAGTAAATTTGTTAGGCCCCTTAGGCCTAAAATAGCTAAAAAATAGCGGGGTCGATTCAGTCGAGGGTGCAACCCGATTGGATGAGGAAAAGGTTGAGATGAGGTTGGGTTCAATGTTTAGGTTAAATAATATAGAACATCAAAATACAACGTAACACTACCCCCCTCTCAAGTGAGCCAAGTCAGCAACGCCTAGACGCTGAAGGTACGCTTTGAGGCAAGTGTTGCTAGGAGACAGCTAGGACAACGGAAGTAGCTATCGTCGGTGCGTCGTAAACACGCCAACGAGCCAAGAAGTCGATGAAAAAGACACCTCCCTAAAGATAGTGACGGTATCTGTGGATGAGCTGAATCTGGTAGCCGGGCTCGTCGCCGTTAAAAGTTATCGGCAATGGATGGTGTCGAGAGAATCAGGCAAGGTTGAGTTCACTATGGAGAGTTTGGTACAAATAACAAAACCCTAAAGTGTTATCTCCTACAACATCTACCCCACTACAGCCTACCAATATATATCACATATATATATCATTTGATACACCCCCATAGGCAAAGTGGGGGAGAGCAACGGGTCACAAGACCAGTCAAGAGAAGCAAAACAAGCTCAGGGTGGATCACAACGTCACCACACATTCTGAGCACAAGCAAATGGCCACAAGGCCAGTTCACATGCAGAGATATATATGCAGCAATGACAGTACAGTGATGGCTACCTAGCAAGAGCCAGCATGCAGGTATATATGTATATAGATCACAGTACAAGCAAAGACTACAGCAAGTGTGGAAGCGTAGGCACAAGGCCTAACAGAGTACAAAAGCGCTGATGATCACCAGACGGAAGTGCCTTGGTGAATATATCAGCAGTGTTGGCCCGAGTGGCCACGTAACGAAGACAAAGCTGGCCTCACTCTCGAGCCAGGAAGTAACGCAGAGCAATGTGCTTCGTTCTGTGCTCCAGTCTGTGCTCCTCACACAAGGCAATGGCGGCCTTGTTGTCAACGTACAGCACTGGAGGAGAACGAGGCTGCTCTCCCAAGTCAGTCAGCAGGTAGGTGAGCCAGCGTAACTCCTGTGCAGCCATGGCGGTGGCGTAGATCTCAGCCTCACAACTGGAGCCGAGAACTGAAGACGAGCGTGTAGAACGCCACGAAACTGAACCAGAGCCAAGGCTGAAGGTGTAACCCTGTGACGACCGCTGAGTAGCCAGGTCGTCAACCCAAGAAGCGTCTGAGTGCCCAGTGAGGACAACTGGGCTCGTCCCTCCAAGCACTAGCCCCATGCCTGATGTGCTGCACAAGTAGCGCAGTACCCTCTTAGCAGCAGCCATGTGCTCAGGTCGGTGTCGACCAGGAGCCACGTAGCGAGCGAGGAGACCAAGAGGGTACGCGAGGTCAGGTCGAGTGCAAGTCATCAGGTACATGAGGCAGCCGACTAGCTCTGGGTAAGGACCACTCGGCTCTACGGACTCGTCCGAAGGTGGAGCTGAGAGCGTGTGACCTGTAGCCAGAGGAGTGGCCTGTGCTGAAGACCAGGTGAAGCCGAAGCGCTGAAGGACCTGCTACACCATGTGTGACTGAGTCAAGGTGATGGTGCGGCGTGCTCTGTCCCGGGTGATCTGCAAGCCAAGGTAGCTGTGCAGCTCACCCAAGTCAGTGCACGTGTGTCTCTTCTGTAGCTCCGACTTCACATGGGCGAGAGCCTCAGTGTCAGCAGTGGCAAAAACCAAGTCGTCGACGTACACGAGGATGTAGAACGGCGGCAGTGAAGTTTCGGTGCGCAGAAACAGCGACGGGTCAGCAGTAGAAGGCGCAAACCCAAGAGCCGCAAGCGTAGTCCTCAGTGTGTCGTGCCACTCACGTGGCGCCTGTCGGAGACCGTAGACCGGCCGTCGGAGGCTCCACTGGGTGCCAGGAGGGAACGACCCAGTGAAGCCCGGGGGGCGGCGCAGCCAGATCTCCTCGTGCAGACTGCCCTGTAAGAAAGCAGTGCTGAAGTCAAGAGAGTGAAGCTCGTAGTCACGGTGAGCAGCAACGTGCAGCAGCACCCGAAGAGTTGTCATCTTCGGGGTGGGGGAGAAGGTCTGGAAGAAGTCAACTCCCTCTCGCTGACTGAAGCCTCGAGCTACGTAACGCGCCTTGAAGACAGGTGGAGAACCCGGCGGCCGCTTCACCCTGAAAATCCACATGCCACTGACGATGTTCGCCCCAGGCGGGGGAACCTCGTCAACGTAGGTGCCTGTGGACTTCCAGGAAGCCATCTCTGCGTCCATGGCTGCCTGCCACTGAGAGGAGTAGGGACCCTCTATCGCCTCCGCGTAAGAGCGCGGAGTCGGGATGTCTGGTGCATCCGGGTCTCCCTCAGGGGCAAGTAGCGAGGACACAAGATGAGGTAAAGCAGCAGCAAGACACTGGAACTCCTCCTGCCTGTCCTCAAGGACGTCCGTGCTAAGAGCACACTCACCCCCGACGGACGGAGGACAGACAGACTCAGACTCAGCAACAAGACTGGCGGCGTAGTCTAGACGACAGGCAGCAGCAAAGTCAACAAGCTCAGCGACAAGAGCAGACGCAGCAGTAGACTCAAACGACGGGTCAGTGACAACAGTGGCTAGCAGACGCGTGACAGTAGGGTGCTCAGCACGAAACCGGTCAGACTCAGGGTCTGGAACGTCAGGTAGAGAGGACGCAGGAGGAGACGGCAGAGGAACAGGCTGCAGAGCAGAGGAAGGACGACGAACTACGAGGTGTGCGCTGGGGACAGCCTGCTGACGCGAACGAGGAACACGACGACCGGTACGACCAGGACGAGCAGGCGAGACAGGACGCGACACAGGCTCACGACGCTCAGCAGGACTACCAGTCTGCTCAGTGTAAGGAGAAGGAGCAGGCAGCGGTGAGCCAGGCTGTAACGGAAGACCAGTAGACGACGGGAGAGTAAGAACCTGACGAAGAACAGAGTCAGACGGCGGCAGAGACGACGGAGACGGCGGAGCGAAGAACAGTCGTGTCGGCGCAGCTGCATCAGTACCGGCAGCTCCAGCAGCTCCAGTGCCTCCAGCAGCTCCAGAAGCTCCAGTCCCAGGGTCTCCAGCCTCTGTGTCTCCAGCAGTAGCACCCCCAGAACCAGCACCCCCAGTCCCAGGGTCTCCAGCCTCAGTGTCGCCA